GGAGTAAGGAGACTAATAGTTGACCAAACCAATAAAACGGCGTAAGCTTTTGAAAGACTGAGGCACCGGACAGTCTGTGATGGCTCGTGCCCTTTTCAGCAAGTGGTCGTGTAATTCGACAACGCAATCCGAGCCAGCAACGATTTCGCTCACTAGACGCAGAGCAACCACAACGAACGCAAGCACAGCGAAATGAAGCGACAACATCAAACGAAATTCGAAGAATTATCGTATCAATTCAGATAATTAATACAACCGTACAATAGATAGTGGAAGATGAAACAAGAAAGTACAATTAAAAATGTGGAAGTGCACAAGCCCTACAAGCTCGTTAGCGTCTGCTGCTTTAATGGATCAGCTTGCACAACTGTACAGGAGAGCTGAAAAGATGACTGCTTTGTAAGCTCTGCCCTTCAGGTCAAGCGTGATATCGCGCCTGCACCATGAGTGATAAGTTGAGCAACAACACTGCAAAGGTTTGGTAATTGGTTTGTCACTTCGTCATCTACTCTACAATTGTGGATATAGCTGCGTAAGTACTTAAATTTCTAGACGATTTCTAGCAGATCCCCGTTAACAGTCAGCGCAAGAGTGGGGCACTGTCAATCCTAAGTAAAAATTGCGTTTTGAAGGTTCAAAGCAGCCCGGTACGATGTACAGGCAGTGGTACTCTGTTTAGTGCTGCTGGGCACTTTTGCAAGGTATCACAGATTGGGGCAATATCGTTGATGTACTCACATCCAAAGAAGGAATGTAGTTAATTTTACGAGCGAGTGGCAAATAGAAAAAGCGTTTCCATTCGGATGACATAACTGACTGCAGATATGTGTAGCAGTAAGCTTGGTTTGAAGTTTGCTAACGAACCAACAGTTAAAAGATACATGAGGTTGAAGTAGTCGAAAAGTATTCCAATGTTACTCCAGAAGACATACCGGCAGGTACCACTTGAGAAATGGATACATTCTTGTAAAACTTTTTAACTGGAGCTGAAGGTAGTGAAAGGTAAAGAAAAACGTTTATACCTGAAAACACACTCCGGACGACTAAGTAGGTAATGGTAGTGCTTGCTGTTGGTTTAAAGATTTTTTGAGTTAACATTGTAGGCTGAAAGTAAGGTTGTTACGAAAATGCATCACTTCGAACATGAAGATATATATTAAACGAAATCAGGTCAGACGACTGGTACGAAGATTAAAATAGTGCATGACTTTCAGTCGTATTCGGGACGGTAATTGTGTAAGCGGATCACTTGGCAATCTGGAGTGAATATCAAAATAAAAGAAACGATGCCGGTGACTACTGGAATAGTCGAATAACAAACTAAGATGATTCGTCGTGGACATAGACAGTGTGCCAAACGAATAACAGCTCGCATTAGAAGTAAAAAGACCCCACGTTCTGAAAAGCCGTGTTCAGAACGTGAGACAGTGGTCCATGAGAAAACAAAAGGTGATCATGTAGTAATAATACAAAGCAATGTAAGTTCAATTTAAAGTGGGACTGCAACAATAATACTATCCTATGAGCCTTTGAATCCGGAGCTGACAAAGGGCTTCGAAATGTAGATGGACTTAAAACAAAGTGCAGCATACTATGACTAAGCAACTACTGTCTGTGCATCCTGAGCAAGCAGTCCCTGCTGGGCACCGAAGCGAGATTAATACTATTGCCATGATCAAAGTCCCGGAAGGGATAACAATTAACGGTATTAAAGAAAATAATAAAGCCAAAAAGGTCAAATAGGACAAAGGAGATAGAAAATAAATGTGGAAAAGCAAGTGAATGGGAATGCCAACAGTTATATGCAAGAGAGTATAGGTTGAAATGCCAGTGATTCCGTGACTATGCCAAGTCAGATACGTTGTGTTTCCGCTGATAGTACAGACAACTGATGCAGCCACTCTGGTCATGATACAGCCATCTTCCAAATCAGAAGACAAAGGTATCTGGCGGAACTTGTATGGAGCACTCGGGAGACAGAATGTACAGACATAATATGTGGTCAAAATAAATAGTTTATGAGAGAAAGACCTAAGTAAAAGTTCCTGACGATACCAACTAGATGCGCAAAAAACTCGCTTGTTGGCTGATCAAGCAGTGCGCTTACTGGAGGGCCTCAAGGAAGGTGATTCTGATTAGTCCAGTTCAAGGTAAAACGATGCCATTGGCTTACTCCGTCCACTGGACATACGATTGCGTTGCAGTGAGTGCGGCTTTTAGTTGGCGGTGTAAAACGCTCAACTAAGCCGTTAGCAGCCGGATGTTATGCTGTCGTGTGCAGAAGCGAACAGTCGAACATGCAGGCAAGGTCACGAAACAGCGCAGAATTAAACCGTGGTCCTCTATCCGTGGTGATAGTGGCGGGGTGCTATCCAAGTTTCGATGAAAGTTCGTGCCACGGTCCCGGCTGAGACATCTTGAAGCGGCACGGCGTGGCCAACGTGTGAAACGATCGACACATGTCGACATGCATGCAAAACCGTTGGATGGCGGTAGAGGTCCAACGATGTCGAGATGGACAAGCTTGAATCGAGCGTCTGGCAGCGGAAAGGTTCCAGGAACAGTAATCGTGTGACGATGTATGTTTATATCGTGGCAAGTAATACAGTGTTTCGCCCACGGCTGGATATCAGAGCATATACAGGGCCAGATATAGCGATACGTGATCAGCTTGATAGTGGCGCGAATGCTCGGATGAGAAATTCCATGCAAGTGATCAAACAAAACACGTCGAAACTGTTGCAGAACGAATGGTCGAGGCTTGCCGGTGGATGTAACACGATAAATTCGAGTTGAGAATAGGCAGTTGAGAAAGTTTAATAGAAAAACTTAATTCCAACTGTCCAAATTCAGAATATGTTTCTTGATGGGCAGCGATGTCTTCTAGGTTGACTGCTTGGCGCGAAACCACGTGAGGACCAACGCGGGACATAGCGTCGGCTACAACATTGTGAGCTACATCAATGTGTCGAATGTCCGTGATAAGCATCATCATCATCGTCATTATACACGTTAGCTAGAGGGGGAAAAACCTCAGCTACTGTGTCGCAATACACAAAAGAACGGAAAAAGTGAAACAAATGCAAGCCAGCTGACCTACCGGCAACTGATGGACGTTCCGGTAAGATTCAAGCCGGCGAGTATACAGCAAAAAAATTTACTATGCAAAATAACATAAGGCTAAATAGCGATATCGTGGTTGGAGGGGAGGCTAAAAGGGATGGGGTGGGACAAAGAAACTCACAGCATGAACGCCACTGAGATCGGCTCCCAGCCATGCCAGCAAGTGTATCCAGCCAAATGTGTACATCATCTTTCGGACCCCAACCAGGGAGCCGAGACGCTCCAATCGAGGCCAGCCCAGAAGTGAGGGCCTTCATTCCTCTCGATCAAATCATCGCTTGACCACCTCTCTTCTTCTTCCATCCACATCCCCGGCGCGCAAACAACGCACGCCGCAGGAGTCGGTGGGCTGACATGCGTAACACGTCGCCCAGCCATCGGAGCCTGGTGTGTGAAATAACGGTGCTGAGCGGTTCATTTCCTTTTCCTGTGCCGTAAACAAGGCGTCGAACATGCTCGTTGCTCGGTGTTCCCACCAGATGAGAGCCAAATTGCATGGAAAACTGTGATATGTAATTCAACTGACGAGTTTCTTGAGGTGATAAGCGATCAGAGGTACCACGAAAAGCAAAAGTCGCTTATGATCCGTGAGAATTGTAATTGCACGTCCCTCAAGCAAATGGAGAAAGTGCTTAACGGCGAAGTAAATGGCTAAGATTTCTAGGCCGAAAGTAAGGTATCGCGTCTGTGGGGGTTGTAATTTCGAGAGGCTCAGGATGACAGTCTATGACTTGTTGAAGAACAGCACCAACGGCGGTCTGTGATACGTCAGTTCTGAGAATCAAGGATGTGTTGGTATCGGTTCTGAAATGACTGAGCGCAGTAACATTGGAAACTGCGTGGTTGATCTTGTTGAATGCTGTTGTGGCTTCCACAGTTGGTTCAAAATTGCGAAACTTGACTTTGAGTAGATCTATCAATGACTGAAGGAGCTTAGAGCATTCTGGAGTAAGGAGACTAATAGTTGACCAAACCAATAAAACGGCGTAAGCTTTTGAAAGACTGAGGCACCGGACAGTCTGTGATGGCTCGTGCCCTTTTCAGCAAGTGGTCGTGTAATTCGACAACGCAATCCGAGCCAGCAACGATTTCGCTCACTAGACGCAGAGCAACCACAACGAACGCAAGCACAGCGAAATGAAGCGACAACATCAAACGAAATTCGAAGAATTATCGTATCAATTCAGATAATTAATACAACCGTACAATAGATAGTGGAAGATGAAACAAGAAAGTACAATTAAAAATGTGGAAGTGCACAAGCCCTACAAGCTCGTTAGCGTCTGCTGCTTTAATGGATCAGCTTGCACAACTGTACAGGAGAGCTGAAAAGATGACTGCTTTGTAAGCTCTGCCCTTCAGGTCAAGCGTGATATCGCGCCTGCACCATGAGTGATAAGTTGAGCAACAACACTGCAAAGGTTTGGTAATTGGTTTGTCACTTCGTCATCTACTCTACAATTGTGGATATAGCTGCGTAAGTACTTAAATTTCTAGACGATTTCTAGCAGATCCCCGTTAACAGTCAGCGCAAGAGTGGGGCACTGTCAATCCTAAGTAAAAATTGCGTTTTGAAGGTTCAAAGCAGCCCGGTACGATGTACAGGCAGTGGTACTCTGTTTAGTGCTGCTGGGCACTTTTGCAAGGTATCACAGATTGGGGCAATATCGTTGATGTACTCACATCCAAAGAAGGAATGTAGTTAATTTTACGAGCGAGTGGCAAATAGAAAAAGCGTTTCCATTCGGATGACATAACTGACTGCAGATATGTGTAGCAGTAAGCTTGGTTTGAAGTTTGCTAACGAACCAACAGTTAAAAGATACATGAGGTTGAAGTAGTCGAAAAGTATTCCAATGTTACTCCAGAAGACATACCGGCAGGTACCACTTGAGAAATGGATACATTCTTGTAAAACTTTTTAACTGGAGCTGAAGGTAGTGAAAGGTAAAGAAAAACGTTTATACCTGAAAACACACTCCGGACGACTAAGTAGGTAATGGTAGTGCTTGCTGTTGGTTTAAAGATTTTTTGAGTTAACATTGTAGGCTGAAAGTAAGGTTGTTACGAAAATGCATCACTTCGAACATGAAGATATATATTAAACGAAATCAGGTCAGACGACTGGTACGAAGATTAAAATAGTGCATGACTTTCAGTCGTATTCGGGACGGTAATTGTGTAAGCGGATCACTTGGCAATCTGGAGTGAATATCAAAATAAAAGAAACGATGCCGGTGACTACTGGAATAGTCGAATAACAAACTAAGATGATTCGTCGTGGACATAGACAGTGTGCCAAACGAATAACAGCTCGCATTAGAAGTAAAAAGACCCCACGTTCTGAAAAGCCGTGTTCAGAACGTGAGACAGTGGTCCATGAGAAAACAAAAGGTGATCATGTAGTAATAATACAAAGCAATGTAAGTTCAATTTAAAGTGGGACTGCAACAATAATACTATCCTATGAGCCTTTGAATCCGGAGCTGACAAAGGGCTTCGAAATGTAGATGGACTTAAAACAAAGTGCAGCATACTATGACTAAGCAACTACTGTCTGTGCATCCTGAGCAAGCAGTCCCTGCTGGGCACCGAAGCGAGATTAATACTATTGCCATGATCAAAGTCCCGGAAGGGATAACAATTAACGGTATTAAAGAAAATAATAAAGCCAAAAAGGTCAAATAGGACAAAGGAGATAGAAAATAAATGTGGAAAAGCAAGTGAATGGGAATGCCAACAGTTATATGCAAGAGAGTATAGGTTGAAATGCCAGTGATTCCGTGACTATGCCAAGTCAGATACGTTGTGTTTCCGCTGATAGTACAGACAACTGATGCAGCCACTCTGGTCATGATACAGCCATCTTCCAAATCAGAAGACAAAGGTATCTGGCGGAACTTGTATGGAGCACTCGGGAGACAGAATGTACAGACATAATATGTGGTCAAAATAAATAGTTTATGAGAGAAAGACCTAAGTAAAAGTTCCTGACGATACCAACTAGATGCGCAAAAAACTCGCTTGTTGGCTGATCAAGCAGTGCGCTTACTGGAGGGCCTCAAGGAAGGTGATTCTGATTAGTCCAGTTCAAGGTAAAACGATGCCATTGGCTTACTCCCATTGATTAGCCAATCGGCTACAGGCGGCAAACCACCAATCTTCTCCAGGTTGCTCCAGACAGACAGAGAGCTAGCTTCGATGGCTGCTATGGATTAGCCCCGGTAACACCTCCCTCGCGAAAAGTGAGGTATGATTTCGTCCTGGGGTCCAGCTGCATTCTGACCACGGACCTCCGTATCCGATCAGTCCATCGTTGTGGGTGCAAGATCGTTCCTTTCGTGGTCACAGGGCAAAGTTCATTAGGCGGCTCCTGAGTTGCAGGGTGTATATCGAAGTTGCCCAGCAGAATATCCAGTGGCGACGATCGTTCACTGGTAACTACCTGAATGCTGGTAAGCCGCAGCTGGTTTGCATGTCTGGTCCAAATCATAGAGCCCACTCGAACTTTATGCAGCACTTGTCCAAGTCTGCAGTCGATCGAGCCTGGGGTCCGGTGTGGTCTTCCAGGACGATAGTCTTTGACTAAAACATTCTGTCCTGGGTGAAATAGACGTACTTGCGTCCTGTAAGACGTTCCTCTCTTGCGGAGCGATACGCTTTGGAAGCAGCAAAAAATTCAGAGTACGGAGTTCCCTGCCCATAAGCGCTTCTGCTGGGGACAGCTGATTTGGCATCTGGGGGTTCGGAGCTGATCTGTACAGTAGAAGGAAAACATTCAATATCTCTTGGGTTGTTCCTTCTCCCCTTCTCCTCAGCAACGTCCGTATCAACAAAGCGCTCAGCTTGACCATTGGAGTGCGGGTGGAGCGGCGGCGAGCGTAGGTGTGTGATACTGTTCTGCGTACAGTATTCGACGAACTGCAAAGATGCAAACTGAGGGCCAATGTCAGTAACCAGGGTCTCTGGTATTCCATGCTGGGCGAAAAGCCTTCTCAGCACGCCAATAGCTGCACCACTTGTTATGCGTTCCATGCAAAACACTTCCGGCCATTTACTGAAGGAATCAACAACAATGAGAGTGTTGTCCATTCACGGGACCAAAGAAATCCGCGTGTACGCGCTGCCACGGTTTCATTGACAACGGCCAAAAAGACAATTCCGCTTTCCTCGTCGCCCTGCTCACAAGCGCAGACTTCGGACAAGATTTCGCTAGCTGTTCCAGCTCTGATTCGATATTCGGCCAGTAAACGTAAAACTCCGCGCAATCATTTTCATTCTGTTAATGCCAGGGTTTCCATGAGGAAACTGTCGTAGAATTCCTTGGCGAACTTCACTAGGGATAACAACTCTTTCCGCCAAAAGTAAACAACCATTGACGATGGATAATTTGTCTTTTCTCCGGGACAGTCTTTGCAATTCCCCATTTAGATTGTCTTTCGGCCACTGTGTAGTATGAAATCCGACCGCTTGTTGTAGGATAGGATCCCGCATTGATGCATCATGTATCATTTCAAAAGTTACCGGAAATTCTCTGAGCGTCTCCAACAACACCTGGTTCACTTCCAACTCCAGAGAGATCGCTGCAATGATAGATTCCTCTCGCTGGCGTTGCCGGCCTTCCAATAACCGGGAAAGGGCATCAGCTTGATCAATGTCTTTTGTAGAAATGTGCTTCACCGTAAAGTCGTAGCCGAGTAATGTAGTAGCCCACCGCTGCAACCTGTTTGCCGTATAGACAGGGATGCCTGACTTTGGTCCGAAAACTGCCAACAGCGGATTATGGTCAGTAAGAAGTGTAAGCTTCCTTCCATACAGCATTTTGTGAAATTCCTTTATAATGAAGACTATCGCCAAGGCTTCTTTCTCTGTCTGGCCATAATTTCGCTCTGCGGCAGACAGCGACCGGGCTGCATGTGCCTTTTCTGAAGCATCTGCGAACTTGTAAACTATGACTGCGCCAATGCCATAGTTCGAGGCGTCTGCGGCCACCACAATCTCCAAAGTTGGATCGTAATGTGTTAGTAAAACGTCGGAACATATTAGTCTTTTTACCTCTTCAAATGAGCTCTGGCGTTGTTCGGACCAGTTCCAGTGTTTATCCTTGGTCAGCAGGTCATTGAGTGGACCACGCAAGCGATGCATGTGTGATAAGAACGGGCTATAATGGCTTATGAGTCCTAGGAAGGACCTTAGCGTTGCAACATCTTTGGGCGGCGGCATCTTCTTGATTGCCTCGATGTTCGCTGGGTCTGGACACCTGCCGTTCCTGTCGATTATAAAGCCGAGAAATATAATCCAGTCTATGAAGAAAGTACACTTCTCAGGTCGGGGTCTGGATCCATATTCCTCAACACGGCCAAGAACTCGATCCCACCTTTCGAATAGCTTATCCGCACTGCCTCCGACAACAGTGATGCCGTCCAGGTATGCGGCTGCTGCATTGACATCTGTCAGCATTGCGTCCATGACCTGCTGGAATATGGCTGGTGCAGACTTGACTCCAAACGGGAGACGGTGATAATTGTACTAGCCTCGATGCGTATTGATGGTGAGTAATTCTCGTGAAGCTTCATTTACTTCCATCTGCAGGTATGCATTAGAGAGATCCAGCGTTGCAAAACCTTTGACACCATTCAATTTTGCGAACAAATCATCTGGGAGCGGTAAAGGGTACTGATGGGCGTTCAATGCAGCATTTTGACCCGTCGAGAAATCGGCGCATATTCCAATCTGACCGTTTGGCATTTTGAGCACCAAAATGCGTGGCGCCCAAGACGAGTAGTTCACCAGGTGGATAACCCCTGCTCTCTCTAAGCGATCCAGCTCCTGGTCACCATTGATGTTGCTGCGCAAGGTACAGGGCGCCTCATACGAAACACTGGAACAGCATTGGGCTTAAGGGATAGTGAAGCTTGTACTCTAGTACACTTACTGAGGCCTTCCCGAAACACTGCTGATTATTTCTCTCGTAGGTTCTCGTTAGCTACAGTTTTAGGAGCTGCTGTCTTTTGTATCTGGACACGCACAAATCTGGTTGATCGGAACATCAAGCAGGTTGAAACACTCGATCCAGTCCACACCCAGAAGATTCCAATTATGGTGTCTCGTGACAAAATGGTTCCCATGCGGTAAAGTCGGCATAACAACACACACAATCGACTTGCTCAATCAAATGCAACTCAGTATCTGATGCACCTTTCGCCTGTTGACTGGTAGATTTGATTTCTGGTGACCCGACAGTTCTCCACAGCCATTCTGATTTGATCGTAATGTCTGAGGCTGCATCGATCTGCGAACGTGTCTGTCTTCCATTGATGTTGATGTTAATGTACTTTCTACGATCACTGACATCGTCAGTAAAATTGGCGTTCACTTTCCTCGCGAAACCACCGTAGGTTTTCTTTTGCGCATCATGAAACGGTCTGAAAAATGGCTTGGATCTGCAATGAGTTTCTCTGTGATCATGTCTACGACATTTCTGGCAGATATGCTTGTTGAGTAGACACCATCTAACAAAATGCCAGTCGCCGCATTGCCAACATGCTGATGGTTTATCTTGAGGGGTCTTCTTGTGATTAGTGGCCGGAAACTTGTTCCTCGAAATCTGCTGAACTGCGAAATCACTGGAATGCACCTCCGTATCCTCGACCATAGCTATATCTTGTTTTAAATTGATGATTCTCTGGGCCTCTGCAGTGTGACGTCCAGGTCTCGCTCCAACAACCCAAGTATTCTGGTTCGGATCTCGGCATCCGTGGGATATTGGAGGCTACATATACCAGTATCAGACACTCAAATTGATCTTCAGTAAGGGATTTCAGCTTGAATTTCTGGCACTCGCGCTTCATTGTTGCTGCACGGGTAATAAGACTGTCGCTATCCCTCTTGCACAGCTTCAGGAAATTGTACCCATTATTGAAAAGCGATGCCTGATCGCCGAACATCTCCGTAAGTTGAGAAATGGTTTCATTAAAGCTGAAATCTTGAGCACATTTTGGCAAAATCTAATTGATGTATCTGTCGTGCTCCACAGTTCCGAG